AAAATTAGCATTTCTGTAACATGGTATAATAAAAAAAGATGATTGCATATGAAACTGCAAATCTATTATATAAAACTTGCTATTCACTTAAAGTATATAATAATAATTATGCAAATTTCTTTTTTTTCTTCCCTCCCCACCCCACCCTAGAGATGGCTACCGTTAGATACCAATAAGTATGTACATGTAAAATTATTCTATATGTATTTCTATTTATCAGTTTTTTCTTTGGATGCAGATAGCATCTTTCTTTATATGCCCTTTATAGTTAATTTGGGCATTTATAATAATCAAAATGACTTAATCCCTCAAAGTCATCTTAAAATAATATTGCTGGGGCAACTAAGTGGCACAGTGGATAGTGTGGCGGCCCTGGATTTAGGAGGACGTGAGTTCAAATCCTGCCTCAGACACATAACGCTTACTAACTGTATGACCCTGGGCAAGTCACTTAACCCCATTGCCTAGACCAAAAAAAAATATTGCTGTTACTGGTTCTGCTCATTTCACTTTTCATTATTTTCATATAAGAATTCCCATGTTTTTCTAAGATCACTGAGTTCATCATATCTTGTAGCAGAGCAGTATTCCATCACAACCATATACCTCAACTTACTCAGCCATTCGTCAATGGATGGGCATTCCTGCAATTTCCAGTTCTTTGCCACCACAAAGAGAGCTGCTATAAACATTTTAGAACATATACATTCTTTTCCTTTCTCTCTAATCATCTTTAGAAATAGACCTAGTAGGGACAGCTAGGTGGCTCAGTGGATAGAGTTCTGACTTTGGAGTCAGGAGGACCTGAGTTCAAATCTGGTCTTAGATACTTGACACTAGCTGTGTGACCTTGGGCAAGTCACTTAACCCCAAATTGCCTCACCAAAAAAAAAAAAAAAAGAAATAGACCTGGTAGTGGTGTTGCTGAGTTAAAGGGTATAGGCAGTTTAATAACTCTTTGGGCATGATCAACAGATATTAACAGGCAATTTTCCAAAGATCAAAACAATTTATAGTCATATAAAAATGCTCTAAATCATAATTGATTGTGCATTTTCACTGGCTCTCCCTCATGCCTGAAATTCTTTCCCTTATCATCTCCATCTCCTGGCTTCCTTCAAGTCAAAGCTAAAAATGCCTCCATGTGTGAGCAGCATTCTTGGGCCTCCTTAATGTTAATGCTTTCCCTCTGAGATATCTCCAGTTTATCCTGTCTGTATCTCATTTGTACATAGCTGTTTGCATGTTGTTCCCCTCCCCCTCCTCCCTCCCCCCCCCCCATTAGCTTGTGAGCTGCTTGAGGACAAGGACTGTTTTTGCCTTCCTTTGTGCCCTTAGCACAATGCCTGATGCATAGTAGGCCCTTGATAAATACTTGTTGGCTTGAATACACACACACACACACACACACACGTCTTGTGCATATCTATCTATCTATCTATCTATCTATCTATCTATCTATCTATATCTTAGACAAGCATTGAATATAGACAATGGATTGTACTCAGAATCAAATAGAGATGAAAGAGCAAGCTAGATTATATTTGAGAAAATGGGCAGTGTTTTCAGAAATTCCAAGGTTCTCCTTGTTTTCAAAGACTATCTTTTAAACATTAATATCATCTCAGTAAATGCCTATAAATGTCTATAAATCAGTGATTTCTGAAAATTCAAAATTGTAGGTGAGCAAAAAGAATATTAAAAGATGCATAGTAGGTGTAAACAGCCTGTAGCACACAATATTACCCGTGATGGCCTGAAGATTAGTTGTGTATAATTAACAAGTAAACGGAAAAGGAAGTAGGCTAGCTATAGCAATATAGAGGGATTTGGGTAGCCCATGAATTCTCCTGGTATCTAAGCAATAATAAACCACCCAGTTAAAGGCTGGCAAGGAATTGAAAATTTGTGGAAGATCATGGAAAAAAATAATGTGGAATTAGAAGTCATGAAAAGGTGGTCATTTGCACCAATGAAGCAAATAACCAAACCTCTGATAGTACAGATCCATTTAAAAGCATTGCACCATTCAGCTCAGTGGCTCCACCTGCTGGTGAATGTTTCACTTTCCAGCTCAGATCTGAACTGACCAAGAGGCATTGTACAATTTGATGCCCTTAGTCCAATCATTGCATACAGATGCAAAATTAAAAGCAGGCTCCTCTTTTCTCCCCCATGGACTTGTTCAGATTGTTTCTTCTGAAGATCATAGGAACATAGGATTTAGAGTTGGAAGGGCCCTCCGAAGCCGTACAATCCAATCGCCTCATTTTACGGATGAGGAAGTGTAAGTTCCAAGAAGTAAGTGGCAAATTCAAGACTTAAACCAATGTCCTCTGACTCTGACTGCAATGCTTTTTCCCCCTTGCAGCTTCTTGAACCTAGATCTGCATAGGGAAGCCTTCCAGCTTGCATGGAATTGAAAGATTTGATTCCATTATTAAAAGTGTTGCAACTTAGGAGGAAGTGGTGGTGTGATCCCAGAATTTGTTGTTTGTAACTCATATTCATTTACCCAAGTAGCACTATCTAAGATTTCTGTTTTTGCCTCATCCTCATAAATTTCTATGATTCTTAGAGTGATTTTGAAAAGCCTAAGAGTTTTTATCTTGATGGAAATAATTCAGATACTACACAGAATTCCGTTTTCCAGGATCAGTGGTGCCACTAAGATGTACCTAGATTCAAAAACTTGAACCACACTAATTATAGGTTAGGAGCCTGGGGGGCAGGGTTAGCTATGGCCCTATATCTCACATTTTAAAGTAGTGTTGGTCTCGCAGTTTGTACTTCTCTTAGGTAGAGATGAAGGAGGGAAAAAAATCTTCCAGGTGACTTTCAACTTTTACTGGACTAAAATTTCAAAGACATAAATACAAAATAAAAAAGCTTTGCATTATTGTTATTATTATTATTGCCATGACATTGAAGTAGTAGTGTTAGCAAGTTAAAGATTTGGTAGTTTTAGTTTAATTAGAATCTTATTCTTTAAACATCTCCATTTTTTTCCCTTGAAAGAATGTGAATATCCACTACTTTGTGTATTAATTATACTGTGAAGCAAAGTCAAACACTTTTTGCCGTCATCGGAGGGAGAGATTTTTTTTTCAAGAGGAGAAAATTGAATACCATCACTAATGCAGGAAACCAGGAAGAAACATTATGGCTAATCACTGTGACTGTGTTTCTTGGCAGTGACTGGCTAAAAATTAACCAACACATTCCCTTTGTGTTTTCATAGGTAGTGGGCTTCTAGTACTGAGAGTGCTCATTGCCCTTGCTGAAAGGAAAAATGCTCACTTCTTTCCAAGTGGTAGTTGCAAATTGTGGCTTAAGCAGCTGAGCCTGTTTTAGAGAAACAAACTTGTTGTAGTCACGGAGTTCTCCAGCTAAGGCCTAAGTAGCCTTTCTCATCCTTGCAGTGCCTGCATAACTCAGATGTTCAAAAGGGAGGTTGGTTTGTTTGTTTTGTGGCAATTGGGATTAAGTGACTTACCCAGGGTCACACAGCCAGTAAGTGTTAAGTATTTGGTCTGAGGTCACATTTGAACTCAGGTCCTTCTGACTTCAGGGCCAGTGCCCTATCCACTGCGCCACCTAGCTGCCCCTGGTTTTGTTTTTTTTGATGGGGGACCCAACCTGTGAAATCACTGACTCTCAGAGGAAACTAACTGCTCTGCAATTTGTAGTATTAGATCAGGAGTTCTTAACTTGGGGTCCATAATTTTTTTTAAAATTAATAATTATTTTAATATAATTAGTTTCCTTTGTAAGTCTATATATTTCATGTATTGAAAACATTATTTTAAGGAGGACTTTGTAGGATTCACTAGACTGCTAAAGGGGGTCCCTGTCTTGGAGAGATGCCTGGGGGAATGAGGAGGCTAAATGATTTCCCAGGGTCAGACAGTATTTGTCAACAGCAGAACCCAACCCTCAGTCATGCTGCCTCTCATGCTCACTAGAATGGTCCAGTAGAAAGAACACAAATCTTAAGTCAGAAGACCTGTTCTTCTGCTTCCAATCTTGCTTCTGATGCTTACTACCTTTATGACCTTGCGCATGTCCCTGAAGCTCCCAGAGTTCAGTTTCCTCATTTGTAAAATGAGGGGTTTGGTTAGATGACCTCTGAGGGCCCTCAAGTTCTAGGCTGATGATTCTATAATCCCACACTGCCTCACAAAAGGCTGTCCAATCTAGAACTTTTTCAGTAATCACATCTGACTTTGCTAGCAGTAAAGATTTTAAGTTTCCTAAACATTGATAGAGATACAGATTCTAACATTCTACATTGCTTGAATAAGACTGCTCACTTCCCAACTTCTCCATCAGGACTTCCATCAATCCATCAGTCCCTTCCTTCTAAGATTACCTTCCATTCACACTGCAGATATATGTACACACTTATTAGTGTGTTGTTTACCTTATTAGAATATGAGCTCTTTGGGGACATGGCTATTGTTCTAAACTTTCTTTGTATCCCCAGCACCTAGCACAGTTCCTGGTACTGACTGACTGCCGGAAAGACAAAAATGAAAGGCAGCTCCCGCTCTCAGATACCTTATTTTCTACTGGAAGAGCCATTCCTGTGGAATATGTATAGAATATGAAAATTCTAGGTGCTATCTGTCAAATAGACATTACTGACATGGAGCATTCCTGTTATGTGGCAATTGACAACAAACTTTTCCAAGTAGATTTTTCTTTTCCGAAAGAGGTAGCTGGTGAGCGCAGTAGTTGGAAATGAGACAATATGAGTTCCAATCCAAACTCAAATATTTACTAACAATGTGACCTTGAGCAAGTCACAACCCCTATCTACCTCGATTTCTTCATCTGGAATAATAATAGTATTTAACCCCCAGGGTTGTTGTGAGGATAAAATGACATAACATTTGAAAAGTATTTTGCAAACCTTATAGAAGGGCTAACTATTTTTTTCTTTTGTATAGATGGACTGGACAATTACTATTCTTCCTTCCAATAAATGGAAAGACAAATTAGTTTTAAAATGTGAAGTCAGGCCAACATTTTTAATCTCCAAACAGCTTATTTAAAAACAAATATAAATGGATTTACTTAATCATGCAAGATAGAAAAGTTGATTAGAAAACCTATATAACTTCATTGAGAAGGCAAAGTATACATAGACAAGTGATACATTTATATGAATCAATGTAATTTAGGACATTGCATTTTACTGTCTTAAATCATATAATTTTTAGTTGTGATTTTCTTAAAAAAGATTAACAGCAACAACATAAAAACCTTTGCAATAACATTTCTGTCCTTCATTGTTCAAGTAAAATCATGTATCATCCAGCTGCAAAGTCATTCTAATGGCAGTCAGGCATACAGAGACTTCAAATATAAACTTAAATCCATTGATTCCAGACAAATTTTGGGAAGAAAAACTTTAATTCTAGTAATTCCGTATTGTACTTGTAGGTAAATTCATCATTTTCTAGTGCTACTCATTTACCACATTTCCACTATATAACAGAAGGAATAGACATACACACAAATGCACAAATACACCCAGGCCATCAGGACGGACAACATTTGGAAAAGTATTATAAATGACTTGCCTGAAGTCAAAGTTTTATTCAACAAAAATGGACTTTAACACTATAAAAAAATGCAGTGACTAATGTAAAAGAAGGATTTACCTCCTCAAATACATTATGAGTTGGACTGCATTTGCCTCTTATAAACAGACCCCTTGCCTCTCACTAACAATCATTTTCGATTTTAATCGTAGTCTGGTTTGTGATTAAAAACTCAACAAACTGACTTTATGCATGTTTAAGGAAGGCTACAAGTGAAAGGCAGGATCCAGAATAAAGTAGAAGCATGCAAGGAAAAGGAAAAAAAAATTGCTTTGGCTGGCCTGAATGGGGGGCAGCTATAAACAGTGGATATAAAGTCCTGGGTTTGGAGTCAGGAGACCTAGAATCAGTTTCTGGCTATGCTGCTCCCTAGGCATGTGACCCTAAGTAAAGTGACAACCTCTCAGCTTCAGCCTTCATCCATAAAATGGGGATGATAATACTTTTACTAATGACTTCATGGGATTAGTATGAGGAAAGCTCCCCGTAAACTGTAAAGTGCTATGTGAGTGGTTGTTATTACCAGTGATCTCTGCACAGGGATTGGAAAATGTCTTCAGATAAAAAAAAAATAATTCCAATGAATACCCTCTTCATGTAAGATATAGGGCAGGAACTGATTCTAATGGGTCCCAGAAATAGTTTTGGGATTCATAGAAATGTAACTAATTGGGGTTAGTATAGCCTTTAGCTGTGGCCCATTTGACCCCCAAAAGACCCAGTGCAGTTGCAGCCTGGGTCTATGGCTAAAGGTAGCATTCTGAAACTGGCTTGTAACACATCCTATGGCATTTTAATATTATTAAAAGGTTTGAGGTTCTTTTTGTCTTGTACAAAGAATCAAAATATCGCTCATCACTTGGAATTGCTTGGAAGTAGAAGGTCTATCAATATCAAGTCTTTGGCTTTGGTGCAATACTCAGCTACAGAGGATTTAGATATTCATTTAAATTCTTTTTGTTTCCCACCCTTTTCTCCCTTTCTGTAGTATTAATTTATGAAATACACAATAGGAAAGGACTTAAAAAAAAAGAGCCAGTTGGTTACTAATATATCAAATGCTATAAATTAAAAATATATGTAATCATATCTTTTGGTTCAGTTATTAAAATAATTTCATATTTCTGAGTACAAACAAACACTTGCAAATGGCTTGGTTTTTCACTAAGACAACTCATATAAAAAGTTTTTAAGAAAATTGCCTTATAAATGCTGCTGGTGCTGCAGTCATTCCCAAAACAAAATGTTTTCCTTCTTGCAGCAACTTCAGTCCTTTTGCCATTGTTAATGATCAAACTATGAATTGGCATCACATTGTCTTCTAAAAGTGAAAATAAAAAAACCCCAAAAGAAAAGAACAAACTCTTGTTAATATGTAAGGGAGTTCCAAACATGTTTTTGTAAAGTAATGTGTGTGAATGTTATCCTTCTTGCTTGGAGTTTTTCCAAATGGGATTGAATATGGCTTATTTCTGGTATAAGGTTATTGCAATCTGCCCTCTTGCGAACTGCTGCATCCATTCATTACAACATGAAATGGGTATAACCTTCTGCTCCAGTAACAATAACATCCATCCAGATCCTCATGGCTTCTGGGGATGGAGCCACCATATAATAGATCCTATCATGTGTCTTGACACTAAAGGTGAGTAATGGATTAGGACTCTAAAAGGAGATAAGAAAAAGAATATTAAGCAAATAACTTTAATGAAGGTCATCACATAGGAGTTAGTACAATACTTAGACACAAATTTCAGGGTTTCTTTCTCCCTTCAATGTTCTCATTCATGAAACTTATCAGTTTATACTTTTTCTTTTATATATTTCTTTCCCCTTTTGGAGTAGTGAACATTTTTATAATTTTTGCTTTAGTTTTCACACAGGGCTTCCCCTGTCCTCTTTCCTGGTGTTCGTGAAATGTAGGGAGGCATTTCTCACACTCTGAAGTATATTAAGACTCTGCACAGGGACAATGCAATGGGCTGCATGTGGTGATAGCTTTTGCTTTTAATTCTTTATTTCCTTTTATACTGTTGGCTATTTGATAGACCTTGCAATGAGGAGCTAGCTTGGCAGGGCCCTTGAAACAACAAAACTAAAATTATTATCTTCTTTTCCCTAAAACTGGACCCACAAATAAAGATGAATTCTTTTGGTCAATATTTCTTATGCCATTCTCTCCCCCTTAGTATTTTGCACACCAGTTCAAGGAAGGTCAAAAAAAGGAAAACAAAACAAAACAAATCCTTTCTCTAATTCTATCATATATAAAAAAATTAGAAAGTTAAAGCACTAGTAAATCTGTAAATGTAATTTACCTTATATGCATTCTTGAGGTGATCATAATAGACTTCTTCAATGGCTTGAAAATATATCACTCCTTTTAATTTAGCTTCATGTTTATCTGCAATGAGAGGGAATGGTAGAATCAGATAGTACAGAGGATCAAATGATTTACACAAGGGGTTCTTAACCTAGAATTCATTGATACCTAAGAGGTCAGTGCATACATTTCAGGGGTCTGTGAACTTGGATGGGGAAAAATATTTTCTACAACTTCTAACTGAAATTTAATATTCCTTCAGCTATGAATTTTTAAAAACAAGTAATCCTAATAAAGGGTCCATAGGCTTTACCACACTTTCAAAGTGTTCTATGATACCAAAAAAAGTTAAGAAAACCAATTTAGAATCATAGAATTCTAGGCCTGGAATAGAATAAGGCTGGAAGAGAACTTAGAAATTATTGTCTGCCCCCCTACCCCCTTTATAGATGAGGAAACTGAAGCCCAACATCATTGCATAGGGCATAAAAAAAAATAAAGAACAATTTTTACCTGGATTATAATTACAAAAAAGGCTTACTTCATACAAAAATATCATCCATAGTACTTCAGCTTCTATTTTTAATTCTAAAAGATGTTACTAAGATAGAAGCCGTTAACTCAGTACCAAAGAAGATTTCAATATTCCCCAGTAAATCTGTATCCAAGATATAGCCCAGGTAAATTGACTCTTAGTTAATGTATAAAGCATGCACTCTGTTGTGCCACTATATGTTATATCTCTCAGGTGTACTCAAAAGCTCCCTCTCTAATGTCAGAGTAAGATATTTATTTCAATCTAGTGATTTCCTATCTTTCTTAACATCTTTTGTTAAGGGGGGTTCTGGTTTTGAACTTATAATTAAAAACCATGATTATTCAAGCTTATAATTAAAAACCAAAATATTATTTTGTATACTAGACAATACTTTTTAGAAAATAAACTATTAAATTCATTCTTACTCAGGTTATTTGCTATTAGCTAATTTAAATCATTATGTTTATTATTTCCTAATAAATATTTCTCTTGTCCCTTTTCCACATTAGAATATGGTATCCTAGACCCACCATCCTTTACAGGATACTGTGTCCAGTGTTTTTCAAATACTGCCACTAGAGGTCAGGCAAAGTGAATTATTAAACAGGGTCTCTAAAAGGGAAGGATAATGCAAAGATCCCTAAAATAGCCAAAGCTCTCACCCTCCCTAATCACAGTATCCAAAAGAAACCTGCTATGACATACTTTCTTCTTTTTAATAATCTGGGTCAAATTCTATCTCCTAAACTGTAACTATATTCAGCAAAATTCAAAATAACTATTAGCCTATAATAACTATGTTTTCAGCCTCTTCCTGATATATAACAACATAATATAGGGCTGCTGGGTATTATAGTGGATAAAGTGCTGGACCTGGAGTCAGGAAGACCTGAGTTCAAATCTGGTCTCAGACACTTACTAGCTGTGCAACCTTGACCAAGTCATAACCTCTGTTTGCCTCAGTTTCCTCAACTGTAAAATGAGACTAATAAAAGCACCTACTAGGGTTGTTATGAGGATCAAATGAGACAATATTTGTAAAGCACTTTAGCACAGTTCCTGGCACATTATAAGTATTATATGAAGGCAAGTTAGTTATTATTACTATTAGGTGGTGCAATGGATAGAGTGCTGAGCCTGGAGTCAGAAAGACTCCTCTTCATGAGTTCAAATCCAGCCTCAGGCATTTACTAGCTGTGTGACCCTGGGCAAGTCACTTAACCCTGTTTGCTTTGGTTTCCTCATCTGTAAAATGAGCTGGAAAAGGAAATGGCAAACCACTCCAGTATCTTTGCCAAGAAAACCCCAAATGAGGTCACAAAGAGTTGGACACGACTGAAACAACTCAGCAACAACAAAAACACATCATTTGGAGGAGGCAGAGGACTGAGAAGTAAGAAAATTTCTGTGAGTTAAAAAGTTTGAGTTATTTTAGGCAGCTAAGTAAACTAAAATGTTAAAATCCTAGCTAACCTTGTTTAGGGAGTCTAGGTAAAGGGAGGGATGAGGTACATAAATTGAAAAGGGGTGGGGATCTAGTATACTTGGTGAAGATCTGTGGCTACACAGAGATGTGAGCTGCTTGATCATGCTTTTATCAGGGCATAGATGGATTGCTGAAATTCTGAGAAGTCTTGGAATTTATGCATTCAAATGTACCCTCCTTTATGGCAACTAAGAACTGAGGGAGTACAATTTTTAAAGATTAAGGGGGTCAGGACAAAGGCTTAAGCCGTGTTTGAATTTCACCCTGGCTGGCTGGCTGCCTAATTGCTCTCCAAGAAATGTACTGAGGCCTGACTTTGAAGATGATTCCATATTCCTGAAGTTGAATGTAAGAGAGACAATGCTAGTGTCAGTAGTAGTCCAACTACAGAAAACCATTTTGAGAATAGGAAAAGAGATGAAAGGTTCAGAAACTTAGAATCACATAGCTTAATGAGACCAAGGGTGTGGGGGCGTGGGGAGGGAATGGAGGAGGGAAGGAAGAGAAACTTAAGGTAAAAATCCAGGTAATTAGATAAACTGAGTGACTGATAAATGGGAAGAAGTAGCAAAGTACAGATGAGGACAAGTTACAAGACTCTTACATTAGAGAGTGTTTAAAAATGCTATTTTTGGAAAACTGGAGGAGGCAAGTAAGAGACTAGCACATTTTATTATGTCTGCTTTTATGAATATTCAGGCACTGAATTAACATCTTTTTTTTAAAAAAGAGTACATTTCCATTATGCTAACTAAAAAAGGTTGTTCATGATACCATCTTTTAAATAGATATAAAATTAATCTAAAACAAGGCAACCCTTTTAAGGAAAACTTGAGATTGATTTATTGTACAGTAGAAAAAGCCATGCGTTTGGAGGATCTGGTTTCAAATTCTCTCTGTGTCACTGGCTACCTATGGGCCTTTGAAGAAGCCTCATCACCTGTCCTATCCTCAATGCTCATATCTGTAAAATGAAGGAATTAGATTAAATTCTTTCTAAAGTCTCTTTTAGCTATAAAGCTATGATTCTATGGATTGGGAGTTTGGATCAGATCACATATTACTGAGATTCTCTAATCTATCAAACACACAGACACAGACACAGACACAGACACACACACACACACACACACACACACACACACTTCATGACAAGACTTTTGGTTCCTGACTAAATACCATGCTATGTCCCCTTTTAAAAATTTTAGTAACTATTCAATCCAATCTAACACTCCAAGGTACTTTGCTAGGCACTAGGGATACAAAAACAGAAAAAGACAAAAAAAGTGCAGGCCTTCAAGAAGCTTATATTCTGTTTTAGGGGGATACAACATGCAAAAAGAGAATCATGCACTTGATTTTTGGGGAGGATGGAGAAAACACTAATCACTAGGAGAACTAGTTTTCCTACATTCATCTATATTTCTTTACTTCTGTAATATTACCAGGATTCTATTCTTATTCTGTGTTTTCCCTTCCCCTCAGAATATACTTGTTTTTTTTAATATAAATTTATTTATTTTTAGTTTTCAACATTCCCTTCTACAAGTTTTTGAGTTCCAAATTTTCACCCCATCTCCCCCCTCCCCCCACCCCAAGATGTCATGCATTCTTAATATCCCTTCCCTTACTCTGTCCTCTCTTCTAACTCTCTCCCCTTCTCTTATCCCCTTCCCCTTCTATTTTCCTGTAGGGCAGGACAGACTTCTGTACCCCATTTCCTATATTTATTTCCCGGTAGCATGTGAAAACATTTTTTTTAAACATATGTTTTAAAACTTTAGGTTTCAAATTTTCTTCCTTCCTCCCTCCCCACCCACCCTCATTGAAAAGGCAAGCAACTCAATATAAGTTGTACATGTGCAGTTACGTAAAACACGTCCATAGTAGACATTTTGTGAAAAACTAACTCTATTTCCCTTAATCCTATCCTGCCCTCACATTTATTCTATTCTTTCTTTTGACCCTGTCCCTCCTCAGAAGTATTTACTTCTGATTAACCCCTTTCCCAATCTGCCCTCCTCTCTATCATCCCCTGCTTCTTGTCCCCTTTCTCCCCTATTTTCCTGTAGGGTAAGACAGATTTCCATACCCAATTGAATGTGTATGTTATTCCCTCCTTAAGCCAAATCCTATGAGACTAAGATTCACTCATTCCCTCTCACCTTCCACTGTTTCCCCTTCCACTGTAAGAGACTTTTCTGTTTGTTTTTTTTTTGTGAGATAATTTACCCCACTCTACCTCTCCCTTTCTTCTTCTCCGAGTATAATCCTCTCTCATTCCTTAATTTTATTCTCCAGATATGACCCCTTAATCTTCAGCTCACCCTGTGCCCTCTATCTATCTATCTACATATACATACATATAATTTTTTTCCTCCAACTACCCTGATACTGACAAAGGTCTCATGAGTTATAAATATCATCTTTCCATGCAGGAATGTAAACAGTTCAATCTTAATAAGTCTCTTATGATTTCTCTTTCCTGTTTACCTCTTCATGTTCCACTGGAGTCCTGTATTTGAAAGTCAAATTTTCTATTCAGCTCTGGTCTTTTCATCAAGAATGCTTGAAAGTCCTCTATTTCACTGAATGACCATTTTTTCCCCTGAAGGATTATACTCAGTTTTGCTGGGTAGGTGACTCTTGGTTGTAATCTTATCTCCTTTGCCCTCCAGAATATTATATTCCATGCCCTGCGGTCCTTTAATATAGAAGCTGCTAAATCTTGTGTTATCCTGTGTTCCCACAGTACTTGAATTGTTTCCTTCTGGCAGCTTGTAATATTTTCTCCTTGACCTGGGAACTCTGGAATTTGGCTACAATATTCCTAGGAGTTTTCCTTTAGGGATCTCTTTCAGGAGGAGATCTGTGGATTCTTTCATTTCTATTTTGCCCTCTGGTTCTAAAATATCAGGGCAGTTTTCCTTGATAATTTCTTGAAAGATGATGTCTAGGCTCTTCTTTTGATCATGGCTTTCAGATACTCCAATAATTTTAAAGTTCTCTCTCCTGGTTCTATTTTCTAGGTCAGTTGTTTTTCCAATGAGATATTTC